CCGCTCTTTCATTTGGGCCAAAAAAAACATTCATATCTTGTCTGACATTTCTGTTCAAACTCTGGTCATCAACTCTGGTTTTCAGTTGAAATTGGAATTGTTAATTTACGCAATAATAGTATTGTATTGACGATTTTTTCTCAACTCGCAAAAATCTTCAACCAATTTGCTATCGATTGGTCATAAAATTTTTTGGAAATAATGAAATAGAGGGGATAAGGCCTTTTTTTCAGAGGTGATTTTTCAATAATTTATTTTAAAAAAAGTACTAACTAGCAAATTATTTTTATTATCTCGCAATTGTCTTCAAAACTACTTCAATGAGGAAAAAAATAAAAATTTTGAATATCTATACATGAGGGGCTAATTGATCCGATCTCAAAACATTGTTATTCTGGGAATAGCTGACCCCTTTTGGTGTACAGCCAAACCGAGCGGCCAAATGCTTCAGGCTGTATTATCATGTGTTGATAGTAGTTTCGTTATCTTCAAACAGTGTCGCAGTTCTCTCCCGAAGATACTACACTGCAGCTGATTCATAATGAATGTAATTAAATACCCCCATCATGAGGACATATTTATCGCCCATCTTTATCAAAAACACATAATAATTCAGCAAACGATTACCGAGAAATTGGCGGCGATGACGATAGCGGATTGTTCGCGCGTCAATGTGACTAACGAATCACATTCATAGCTGAGCATTCTAATTTAGCTTGCGCACGAGAAAGAGATCGATCTATGCTGCAGTATTACGCAACAGTTTTTAGAACGTAAACATGATGAGCATCCAACGTGGAATAGATAAAAATGCATTACGTATGTTCAGCGCTTCCAAAGTCAAGGTTCTTGTTAATTTCTCCGCATCTTTATGCGATGTGATGATTGCAGAGAAATTCGTAATTACTGCAGAATGCTTCAGCGAAAATCAATTCGTTCCATGGACAGTGATTATTCTATGTCCATGAGACAATACTTTTCGACAAAAATTCTTGTTTATGTCTCGTTTATAATCTAGTCATCTAGTCTTTTGTCGAAACTAATGTAACAAATCTTAGTTAAACTATTCCCTATTTGTTATTCTCTCAGTTCCTCAGCTAGATCTGCATCCGCTGAAATAATAAACCAGCCAATTCATCAAAATTGAAAATCATCACTCGTTAGATTACTTTTTTGTAAACTTTTACATCATATTATTTAGATTTCCATCTTCGGAGAACTATCTCCTCCAAAAGAATCGCTTTTGTTCCCATGTGTTCTTTGACTCAGAACAGTTCCAAGTCTTTCGCACCTGCGAATGACTAATCCACTGGTTTCTTTATCAGCCCATAAAACAATGTATGTACTATCGCCAGATTGACTGGCACTCTCAACAGCACTCAACAGTAGCTGAACCCACCTAACTCGACATTAACCATTCCCCATTCGTTATTCTCCCCGTGAAGACCACGAGGTATGTTGCAATCTTGTTTTTGTTATTCAAACCGAACTCAGTAGTTCACTCGTAATTTATCTCACAATCAGCTTCTAACGAGTGCGTACGGCTGCACGTGGGGTCCCTCCACCAGGAAACGTGTCGCAAAAGTTGTTCCCTAGCAAAACAGACGTGTTATTCCGAGTTTGTCCTCCAAATCGATTGCGTGAGATTCGACCAATCAGGGAACGAGACTCGGTGGGTGTGTTAACCACTTGTTTCTTTTGCGCGGTTTTTCTTAATGACAAGTACCTCCACTAATCCCAAAAGGTACTCGACGCTCATTGGCCGGTTTTGGAACACGCGTTACCCCTTCTTACACCCTCGATGTGTAACTTTCTTTCACAAGTCATTGGAGTTGGTCAATCTAGCCGAAAAAATAACATTCTTTTGATTGGTCTTTGGCGATGGTGTGATTACATTTTTTGGGGGATTTGGGGGATCGTCACTAAAGGGAGGTCATGACAGGTAATTTGGCCTCTCGGAGAAATCTTTCGATTGATAGGTTCAGAAATAGATGATGAAGTAAGTACGAAGCGGGGAATTTAGGATGTCCAAGTTCCTTTCACAGTTGGAGAAATAAAAAAAGGGTCACGGATAGTCAGCGTCGTTGGAATACATTTTGCGGCTGAACAATTTCTCTTCTCTTAAGAACATTATGTTGTCGTCGTGACAGATTTGTGGCAAAATTATGAATACAGGAAATTTTTTACGATTTAAAAAATTGCTTATAAATTATTTATGGGCAGTGTCTATTCCCATGCTCCACGGTAGATTCTCAGACACATCTTGTCTGACATCTCTGGTTTTGAACTCTAGATCCAGAGTTGAAATAGACTTATTTCTGAGAGATGTAACTCCCAGAAATTGCCGTTTTGTAATCATTTATGAATTTTTCCAAAACGTGGACTTTCCACTTTTCTCAGATTTTCAAGACATTTCATAACGGTTCAAAGTAGATGATCAAAAGAGACCTTTGTTAACAAGGTAATATCGAAGGTCTTAAATCTAGACCTCCGGTAATCTTGAGTCAGATAGCGCTCAGAGAAGCCTGAACTACAAATGTTGAGAATTTATTGAATAATCGTACGTAATATTTATTTTTCTTCCTAAAATTTCACATCTTCATGTGAACAATTCTCACATTACTTCACTCTTCCTTTCAATATTTACTTGCAAAAAAAAATTCTGAATAATTCAATGCAATCGACTTTTACTAAATTTATGAATAAAATTGTAACAATTTCCTGAAATTATCGAGAAAAGCCGTCCTTTCACTTACAAAATCGACCGTTCAAGCTACATGTAATTGCAAGACTCGAGTGAACCGAACAATGTAAATTCACATTAGGCCAGTGACCCTCGGCTGGCCACCGCGATACATAAAATAAAACACAAGAGCATCGGAAAGAGCAGAGAAAGAGAGAAACAACGAATAGGATGCGGCGAATCTCCAGATGGCGCCGTCTAGTTGACCAAGTGCACGTGTGGTTTATTTTTCATAAACAAAAACCACTCGTGAATTTTAATTTTCACGCCTGTATTATCCTCTCGCGATAAATATTACCGCAGATTGCACTGCAGCTCCCATGTTTAACGGGTCTAGTCATGCAATATCTTCGGAAAACAATGGCAATGGGAGGGAAATAATCGATGTATCGCGGTTGTGCTCTGCGGTGTGGAGTGCACCAATCGGGGAACGACCTTTCGGTCGTTATAATGTGCACCAGTGAAAGCAAAGCCTCGCGATTCTCAAGAAATTGCAGAAACAATAATGAAACGAAGGAACGGGAATAATAACGCACATGCCGAAGCCATTTATTTCGACGTCTGCGTTGCAAATAAACATGTTTTTCATTTTTTTTTATGTTGCAACGTGCAGTTGTAAAAATTGATATGTCCTGCCTATTTTGCAGGAAGCGAAAGGCTGTCAATGTATGAGCGGTTTGTCATTACAGATGAAAGCTAGGTTTTGAAGGCTGATAAAATATGACGGTTAAATTAACTAGCATTTCATAAATATAATGGAAAAACAGAAAATTATAGTTCAGTAATATGATCGTATTGTTTTCGCTCATTTCAATAACAATTGGCAGTCGAAACGTTGGCAAAAAAATTATGATGATAACGTTTTTTTTATTCTAATTGATAAATATTCGGAAAATAAATAAAAATGGGAATTTTGGACATTTTGTCTCTCTTTAAACCCATTCTAAAGTATTTCAAAACCTTCGAATTAAAAAAAAAATAGATAAACAACGAAATACCCAATTGCAAGAATCAAAAAATTCAACTCATCGAAATTATTATTCCATCAATTTCTTCGAATCACCCCAGATAAGGAATATTGTTTGCTCGGCATTGAGTCCAAAAACTGCGTCAAAGACGCAATTGAAAAAAATGGGTCACCTTCCATCACCTGTTCGGCCCTTCTCCCCCAATTCACATCCTTCGCATTCACCATGGAACCATCTTTTTACTCCGTTGATGTGCGCAAATAAAAGGCTCGACGTGCTTCAGCCAATGGTGTTGAACTTACGTTCATAAACACGTTTTAGTTACAATACTACACAAAGCAAAACGGCGTTATTATTAACGGGCATAGGGGGGATACGCACTGCTTCGGAGTAACTTCGCCGTTTCGACGATAAAACTTTCAGTCAGAGCCAGGCGCTCATCAAGAGCGAACGTTATCTTTTATTCAAAGCCATTGTTAATTATTTTTGAACTGTAAACGTGATTATTTTGAGTGATCAAAACGTTTCGTTGATTGGAGTGTGGAATTAATGCTGGAACTGTTGATTGTGAGTTTCTTTATGCAATAAATCACGAGAACAAAATCAATGCAGAATGCGTGGGGATGTATTTGCATTTGTTTTCATCCGAAGGAAAACAAATGATTGATCGAGTGATGAATTCATTGATTTATCATTTTCTCGTTTGGAGGAGCGAATATTTCACTTTCTTCCGGGATAGTTTCGATCTATCGAAAATAGATATTCTGTGCCACGTCCACGGCCGCGAAAACTGGACAAGGGCCAAGGGTCAGCCCCTGTTTCCTTACTCTTCAATCATCGATGTCCGATAAAGAAGAGTGAACTCAAAAAAAATTGCTCAACGTCTAGCCGATAAATTCATAGATAAGAAAAATGCTCGGCTGTGTTCTGACATGCGTCGTCGAGGCATAACAATGAGAGATCATTGTCATTCCCAATGAATCTTCCCATCGCGGTCTTCCGTAATTGATTAATACCGTAAATTTAATGAAATTCTCGCCAAGAGTGGAGTTGTTTGATTAGCCCGAGCTAAAAGAGAAGCAAAGGGAACGGCGAAACCGGTCACGTCTCTGTCAGCGTGCGAGCGACGGGAAAGGGGGAAGGAAGAGCACAAATAGACATGAGGAGTGTTATGTCCTAATTCACTAATGAACTTACCAGTGCGATATCAGTAATTGCAAATTTTTAGACGTCTTTTGCTGGGAAGAATAATGAAGAAACCTTTTATTTTTCACCTTCTTTCGAACGGGGAGACAGTTTCTTTTGAAAGTGTGCCGCAGTTTTTGTCCTTGAGGGATTTCAAATTCTATTTATTATCAATGGGTCAAACGTCGGATAAATTGGGAACTTGCGGTATTTTTTTTTTCATTCGAAAGCGTTTAAAAAATCGTTGGGCGATGGATGATTTATTCTTTCAATGTCGTTGGAGCGGTTAATGGAGAAAAATGAATCATGATCAAGCAATCGGGTGATTATGAATATTTAATGAAGAATTGGGCGTTAAGTTCGTTTTGGAATAAATACATCTTTGTTGTAGTCTTATCCACTCGAATGAATAACAGAATAGGATAATTGAATTGCAAATAGTTATCGCTGTCAGTTGAATAAAGAAAGGTGAAGACTCAGACCCCTTGACAGCGCTGCACGATGATAAATTCATGGAGAGATTGTTTGAATGGTGATAAAAAAAATGTTGTAATTAAGAAAAATTGAATATGAGATTTTAGACAAAACAAGTGATAATTGTATCAACTGACGAATTGACTTCTCTCCATATTCCGACGAGTCGGGACGAATTTAAAGCCTTTGAGGGATTTTACATTCTGATTGATTCTCAAACGTTAGACGAATACAACAAAAACGAATGTCTGAATTTCACACACCTTTTGTAGACATTTTTCAGGCACTAAAAAATGTCTGAAGAAAATGAAAACGTGTTTGAATTTCAGACGAGCTGGTGCCCAAACATCTTAATTCATGTTTGAAATTCCAACAAATGTTCATCCTATTCAGATGTTTTTTAGTGTCTGAAAAATCCGTTAAAAGAATCGTTGAATAATTAATGATTTATTTTGTAAATTTAATTGGAGTTGAATACATCAGACCCAGTCATGACGGGATTGTTTGAGTGCATGATAAAAAAATTATTGGGATTAAGAAAAATTGAATAATAAGATTTTAGACAAAACAAGTGATAATTGCGTCAACAAAGAAATTTATTTCTCTTCTTATTCGACGAGTCGTCTTAATTACTTGGTGTTCGGGTTATTTCTTTGGGACCAGCAGACTAGCTGGGCTTCCGGTTTGGCAAGACGAGTCTGGCCGACAGCCCGAAGCGCTGACTAATCGCATTAAACTTGAATTTCCGTCTGAATTCACAAATGAAGTTTTCCTAATTCCCATTTCTTCAGAGAATATTCAGAGGTATTCGTTTTTAGCCTCTGAATGAGTAGAAATTCATCCTTCAAACGACAATACTCGTGACAGTAAATAAACATGTTTGTTGCTGCTAGTTGCCAAGAAGAATGAACGATAAGTATCTCCTGCGTTTATTTACCTGATGAGTAAGACCAGAGCTCGTCGTAATAGTTGACGCAATAGGAAAGCAGTCTGCCTTTCGCCGAGATATTTTATTTGCGCTCTGGGCTGCATATAACGACTGTGTGACGTAACATTATTTAGTCGATTGATCGGATCCATCGAATCGTCAATCAGTGAAGCAATTCCAGATGTTCAAAGGATGAAAAACATTCATTTTTATTAAAATGTCATTGGGGCAGAAAAAAGTCAGAAATAAAATCACTGGTGATGAATTAACATCACGTTTTTGGATAATTCAACATTTTATGCGGATGTTTACAAACAAGACATGTTAGAATCCAATTTTTTTAATCAATTTGAAGATTATACTTTCATTTTTTTTTTAATTCCAAACTGTTGTTGGGATTTTTTTTCGTATTCTTGAATTATTTCACAACTTTTGGGATAACTCAACATCTTACGTGAATATTGGCGCGTAGGGGTCATCAGAGTCCATTCTTTCGAAAATATGAAGTGCAACAGATGTATTTCATCTCTTAGTCATTTGAATTTGCAATTTCCCTCAAATTTAAAACAACAATTGTCCGAGATGTTTACCTCCGAAGATTGTCATCGTGTTAAATTATTTGTTTTCACTTGAGAAACATCCAGGTGACGAGGATAACTATAACTATTTCGCAAAAGTGGAAATTCCTGTGTTGCGTGTGCCAAAAAATCATCGCAGCGACAAGCGAGTTTACTTTAGTCACTCAGCTGATGATTCTAGTGATCAATCGATGACTCGTCTGGTCTCCGAAGGTCAACATTTTTTTTCCCATGTAGAGGCGTTAAAATCTCGTTTTTGCATCGATGTGGGTTTGACACTGCTGACAGTGTCGATCATATGAAGAATAATCTTGCGAGAATTTTCATTCGTTCATATTGTTTATGCGCCAAGGTACAACGTTCAATTGCTCTGGCAGTGGTACTCGAGTCTGTCTTGGTGGCTCACGTAGCAGTTCAATGTCCACGGGAATTCATGAGAAAATTGTCACGTTTAAGCATGACTTGGGGGAAATTTCTCACTGCTATTAATTCCGGAGTAATAGACAATCAAATGTAGAATTAGTTCTTACACGCTCGTGTATTTCTCTCCATTTTGTTGAATCATCTTAATGACACTTTACGGCACCCAACGTGCAACGTGACACTGAACAATGGCGATCTAAACCGTTTACCTTTAATCATCTCACCGGAACGTGAGAGAAAAAATCCCTGGAATAAATAAATTGCTGAACGAAAAGAAAAAATTACGCAATTGAAATTCGCGATTGCGCAACTCGATGAATTTGCATTTTTCACGTTTTTGTTCGCTTCTGTTTTATACGAAGATATTCGGTTTTTTAGGAAATGTGGAGAGAGATGTCGTTAACATCTAGACTACCAAAAGCATAAAGTTTGCATGAGTTTAAGTTACATTTTCGTTACGGAATTTTTTGATTTTTTGGGGGGAAGTTTAACTGAGAGAAGAGTATTTTCAGACATTTTACTTGAAACTCATATATTTATCATCATGTTTTACTTTTTTGCATAATAAATACCTAAAATCCTCTATAATGTCCGAATTTCCTACACCTTTTTTAGACATTTTTCAGACACTAAAAACCATCTGATTAAAATGAAAATGTGTCTGAATTTCAGACGAACAGGTGCCGAAACATGTTAATTCATGTTTGCAATCCAGAGAAATTTTAATTTTATTCAGACGTTTTTAAGTGTCTGAAAAATGTCCACAAAAGCTGTGTGAAATTCAGGTATTCATTTCTGCTGTGTGAAAACATTAAAGAAATCTTAAAATCCCCTCAACTTCGCCGCAAAACGAAATAACAATTTTCAGCGACCAATTGTTTAATGACGTTACAGCACCTCGAGTAAGTCGAAAGTTCCGCTCTTGTGATCACGTGTCCCAGCCATCTTTATCGACCGCACTGGTGATACCAGCGTGCCGTCATTGGACTTTACCAGTATCACGTGATCCCTGACGTTTCCGCGGTCGAGAGTCCCCCCACCGCTAGGAAAAACGTGTATGCAGGGCCGGTGCTAGGCTCAGTGAGCCAAGAGATAACCCAGGAGAGCCCCTCGAGGGACAAAGGACCTCAAGGGCGGACATTGCGCGTTCGTTTCACCTGCTAAAGTGTTGAAAAATTGAGTTGAACATTTAAACCGAAGCCCTTAGGCCACTTTAAAGTACTCGGAGGAGTTTTGATAATCGGGGGGGTCATAAAAGACACCTGTGCTCCGATATATCTGTCAGTTGATGGCCCGGAAGGACTCGAAAAATCATTAATTAGATTTCCACTGATGAGAGATAACAATCAAAAGGGGATTTGAGGTGTCAAAATGACCGCAGACGACGTAATGGAGTAATTCTGTCTCTGTCAGTGTCAAAATGATTGGATGAGGCACAACTGCGATTGAATAAACCAGCTCGAGCCTGCCCAGACAAAGGGGAGACGTAATTTCAGGCTGTAAATATCGGAATAGCTTCGGAGTAACTGGAATTAATTCAGACATTGATTTGCGACTGGCCGAGGGGTTGACGTTAAAATGTACAGCATGAACTACATCGGAAAGTTTATCAGCAATTTTCGGGATTTTTATAATGAAATTAATGCTGCTACCCTGACTGGTGCGATCGATGTCATTGTCGTTGAACAGGAGGATGGGTCTTTCAGCTGTTCGCCGTTTCACGTTAGGTTTGGAAAGCTTGGAGTACTCAGGTCGAGGGAGAAAGTGGTGAGTTTCAATATCATTGGATAATAATTTATCGTATTTGGGAATAAGCGGTTTTAGGAGGAAATGACAACTTTTTTTTTTATAGAAAAAGCTGAATTTCGTGGGGAAAAATTACTTCTGATATTTCTTCTTCAAATAATTCTGTATTGAAATATTTTATTATTTGTGGACATGTCAAAAAAAATTTTTTTATTACATTTCAAGAGACCTGTCTTGTGGAGAATTCAATTTCCAAGAAGAAATTACTTGATATTTTCCCTTTACTCTATTAACTTAAAACTGAAATTCGGTGAGACATTTTTTTCGCAACTCCACTCCACTAACTATTAATTCTTAATTCACTAAGATAATTGATTTTAATGAATTTAAAATCATTAATTGAATCTGAAAGTATTTTGTAAAGTATTTTATTTCTAACACAAAAAACTCTCGTTATTCCCACAAATCATCATAAGCAATTGATTCCACATTTCGTCTCCCCAATAAATTCCCCAGGTGGACATAGAAATAAATGGAGAGCCCCAGCAGATCCACATGAAGCTCGGCGACTCAGGCGAAGCCTTTTTCGTCGAGGAAGTCCCCTACGACGGTTTCCACCGTCCCACCGAGATCCCTCCGCACCTCGCGTGCTCTCCAATCCCAGACGACAACTGCTTCCCACCCCCCAGATTCCACCTGCTCTCCGATCTCCCAAAGGAGCAGCACGAGAAGATCCTCAGGGACTCTGTCCTCTCCATCGAGCGTGAGAAGCTGGAGCAAATGTCTTCACTGCCACCAGACCAGCGCGAGAAATTCCTCATCGAGCAGTTCTCTGACCTCCCAGCCGAGGATCGTGACAAATGGCTGCTGATAGCCTCCATGACGTACGAAGAGCGCGATAAAATCTTCAAGGAGAGCGTTAGCACAATGTCGACTCTTCAGAAACAGCAGATGATCAGGGATGAGTACTCAGCCCTCAAGATCGAAGACAGGGAACGTCTCTTCAAGGAGAACTTCCCAGAGCTGCCCGCTGAACAGAGGCCCTCATTCGAGAAGGCTCTACTCAACGACTGGAGGTTTGAAACATTTTACTCATTTAAAAATATATTTTTTTTAACTTTGAAATTATGATAATTCAATATTTTATGCGGATGTTCAGAAACAAAATATGTTAAAAAACACGTTTTGATGGAATCAAACATAAAGTTAGATTTATTTATCTGGAAAGACAAATTTTGTTTATTTTATTTATTTATAAAATTGATTAATTCACAAGCCCTTTACATTTTATTATTTTACTTGTTTTATTTTCGTTAGTTCTTTAAATTTATTCGTCCCTCAAAATTATTATTCTCATTTAATTTGTATAATTCTTGAAAAAATTATATATTATAAAAATTGATATTGACATTAGATCGAAAGACGAGAAGCAGGAGAAGAATCCACCCCAGATCGAAGAAGAAATCTTCGACATGGACAACATCGAAGAGGAGGAGCCAAAGCCAGTGGTCTCCACCCCGAAGTCCTTCGTTGCCGTGACATCCACCGAGAGAATCAGGAAGATAAGTGTCGTCAACAACGACTTCAGACCCATCACCGACGATCCCCAGAGCAGTGCCAAGGAGAAGTCGAGTGACGAGTCCATCGTCAGTGCTGAGAAGAAGAGTATCAAAGAGGAGGTGAATGAGGATGTCAAGACCCCGTCTATGTCGAAGAGAAAGAAGAAGAGGAAGAGCACGATGAAGAAGAAGGGCTCCCAGAGGAAGACCAGTAATGGTAGCAGCAGTCAGACTGAAGTCAGTGAGGGAGAGGTAGCTGTTGCTGAAGTCACTCAGGGTGAATCGGAGAAGGAGTCGACTCCCGTTGAGGCGTCTAATCCCCCTCCAGACACTGATTTTCACTTCTTCAGTGATACAGAGATAACTAAGTGAGTTATTGGGATGGAATGATGAGTAGAAATTTGATGGAATGGTTTCGTAGGCATGTGGTAGGAATACAAGACATTTTAATTGTTTAGGCATATCCAAGGAAAGACAAAACTGAAAATAATTGATTAATTATTTTCATTTCTTTTTCAAATTCATTAATGAATGATTATTAATTTTTTCCAAGAGTTTCACCTTTTTCATGTGCAATAGAGAAAGTTAAAATGAAAAAAATGTCGTTGAAAATTGCTTGAAGGCTGAATTCACTTGGAATTATCAGCTGTTTCACTTGGATATCCTTGAAATACTCTACATGCTCACCACGCTGACAACACTGGACACTTAGTTGTTGATGTAATGGTAAAATTGATGTTTTTGTTTTCATTTTCTACATTAAAAGGAACCGGGATTCTAGGCCAAGTTCACCAGTGCAATCAGACACTGAGTTCGAGATGAGGAAAATTGAGCAAGAGGGGAAGGAGAGAGATGCTGACAACAAGGGCCATCAGCAGAGCTGGAGATGGGGAGAGCTGCCCAGTCCTCCACCAGAGCCTTCGCATCCCATGAGCGCATCAGCCACCTCTGCGCCCCAGACTGATGGTAAATTTCCATAATTATCGTACATTTATTAAAGGACAAAACAATTCGACAGATTAAGTTAGGAATGACGAGTAATTCTCTCAGCATTGAGTCAGAAATTCATGGTGAAAATCATAAAATCAGAGGAATTAATGGAGATAAACACCTCATGAGTGTCAGCTTATCACAATTTTCCAACTAACAAAATTAATTGGCTAACAATTGCTTCATGGCAGCTGAGGCACAACGTTCAATGCTCAGCGGTATGTTCTCCTTCATGAAGAAAACGTCGCGTGTTAGGCACAATCCAGAGTCGGAGGGAATTTATCTCAGTGATTTGAATGCCGATGAGTTGGATCCAGAAGTAGCTGCGTTGTATTTTCCAACTTCACATCGTGGAGCTACCGTTGCCAAAGGTATTTTTATTTCCCAGCTGCCTTCTTCACTTTATCTTGAGCATTGCTGTGCTACTGCTATTGCTATTGCCTGTCTCTCATGTTCATTATTTTTTATTTTTCATTGTTCATTGCTCATTTTCCACTGGAGGTATCCAAGACATGAGCTCATTTCTCTTTATCACACGATTGGAATTTTTCTCCACAAAAAAAAATCCAATGAATTGATGCAATAAAAGAGAAAAAAAAATTAATTTGATATTTCACTTGGATATTTTTAATTGTTCATGTAACGCTTGCACCTTAACATCTGGGGTTGGCCATCGATTAAAAATCTACTAACGGTTGGAAAATTGTTGCTGAGCAAATGTGAAATTTAATTCGTTCCAAAAAAAAGGGAAAATAATATTAAGAAAATAGAATGGAGTTTGAAGAGTTGAAAATTTTTGTTTTGAATTCTATAAAAATCGAGGGTTTGATGGGATAATCGAGTGATTCGGGTTATTGGTATCACATTACAGAGAGAAAAGCAATGGACGAGGAAGATACGGAATCAGGAAATGGTCCAAGTTTGCCCCAGAGTCCAAATAGCGTAGAAGGTGCCATTGGAGGTCCAAAATCCCTAGATAGTGATTTTGATGAGCAAAAACAATCATTGTTCGATTCAAATTTCGATGTCAGCCTATCATTGTGCGGTGGACTTGATACTGATAATGGTCCAACTGAAGAATCATTTCATCAAAATCAACTGCGATTCGAGGACATTTGCACCGACATTAAACTATTTGAAAATCCAAATTTGGTTGTTAAGATTAATGGAAAGTTTTACAATTGGACAAGTGCCTGTCCAATTATTGTCACATTAGCTGCTTATCAGAGGTGTTTGCCACAGCACACTATTGAAAATTTGTATTCGTTGCCAATGCATCAAGATAAAAAGGAGGGAAGTGTACTTCAGGATGTTAAGGCTGATGAGGTGAGGAGTGGGGGGTACAGCTCATGGTTCTCATGGAGGAGATCAGCCTCTCAGCCACCGAAGAAATCATCAGAGATCAATGAAGGTACATGAATATTATTATGTTATTCATGAAAAACTACATAAAATAATCAATTCCTTTCTTTAAAATTTTCATTCAATTTATTTCGTCATGTTCTTTCCTTATAGATGGCCCTAAAGGCCACATTACTGAGCTGAATGGTGGACTGAAGCCAGCAGCTGTTGAAGAGGCAATTGATACTGAACCAACAACGTAAGTCTCTTTAAAAAAATAAATAAATCACCAGAAGTGTCAGTTAAATTTTGGTCATCATTTTCTTACAGAGAATTGAAAGAGGAGCCCACTGAGGACACCCCAGCCCCACCAGGATCAGAGTTACTTCTCTCAAGCAGTCCAGAGGACCCAAAAGACACCTCGAAAACCTCTGAAAAATCCCCAGAGCGTGAGGGTGAGGGCTACAGTGGCTCTGAGGACTCAGACAGCAATCAGAACGAGCCCCAGGGTGTGAAGATCCCCAAGGAACGAAGGCCCTATTACGAACCCACCGAGAAATACAGGAAGACCCTGAGATTATCCTCCGAGCAGATAGCGAGCCTAAATCTGAAGGAAGGTCCCAACGAAGTGGTTTTCAGTGTGACAACTGCCTATCAGGGCACCTCCAGATGCAAGTGCCACATCTACAGATGGAAATGGAACGACAAGATCGTGATTTCTGACATTGATGGGACAATCACAAAGTCAGACGTCCTGGGACACATCCTGCCGATTGTTGGCAAGGACTGGGCGCAGTCTGGAGTCGCTCAACTCTTCACGAAGATCAAGAATAATGGGTATAAATTGCTGTATCTGTCTGCTCGGGCTATTGGACAGGCAAGGGTCACTAGGGAGTACCTGAAGAGCATTAAGCAAGGAGATCTGTCACTACCTGAGGGCCCACTGCTGCTCAATCCCACTAGCTTGATTTCGGCATTCCATCGGGAGGTCATTGAGAAAAAACCTGAGAGGTTCAAGATCTCGTGTCTCAGTGACATTCAGGCACTCTTCCCTGAGGGGTCGAAACCTTTTTATGCTGGTTATGGTAATCGCATCAATGTAAGTGATGATAAAAACATGTTTTTATTTTTTTCATTAATCTGTTGAATTATTTATCGAGCAGTCTGATGAGTTGATTCAATTTGTTTCACAAATTCATTATTAAATTTTTTTTCTGTATAATTATTTTCAATTCATGGTTTTTAGGATGTTTGGGCGTACAGAGCTGTTGGAATTCCCATAATGAGGATTTTTACAATCAATCATCGTGGCGAGTTGAAGCACGAACTGACACAAACATTCCAGTCATCGTAAGTCTATTTAAAAATATTGTTTGTTATTTTTTTTCTTATTTCCTGAATTCTGCTATTACTAACTGAACTTTATCGTTGCACTTATTTGATGATAATTAATTGTGATGTCTTGCGACTAATCTGATTAATTCACGAGAATGAATTTTCCACTTATTTCTCTATTTTGTTCTTCTTCTTGTCGATTATTTTTTTCTTGGATTTTTTTATCTGCAATTTTATTTTATAAAAAACACTGATAAATAATACTCAACAACACAAGGAGTGAGCAGTTCCCAAAATTACAAGAGTGAAGGTGTTAACAAAAGACCTGAGAGTTTCCTAAATTAAATACTTAAGAAATAGAATATTCAAATGGGGGGATTATTTCTATGATTGCAGTTATGCTTGTCAGAGTGATATCGTCAATGACTTGTTCCCGCCTCAGCCCAATGAGAGTCCAATGATGACATCAGCCATAGGGAATTAAAAATGAAAGATTTAGAGAGAATTAGGGAATTTTTTATATTCTTCCAGTGCCTCCAAGTGCAATTACAGTCGGAATAGTTTAATTTATTTATCAGAGATATTCCAAAGTATTTTTTTTTACTAAATAGAGGATTACAAAGAGTCGAGGGAAAGTATTTTACAGTGTTAAAAGTATTCAACCTACAGTTTTTTTATAATTCAAATAGTAATTTAGGGTTCAGATGCCTTTGGTATTCGGTTGTGTATCCACATATTATTGATTAGGGTAAGCACTCGTCAGAACTTGCATTATTCACCGTTGCTTTTTGTTATTTTCGATAAATAATCCCCTTCCATTTCATGATTATGCCCCTCGCCATCATGAGGATGCGGAGAATTCTGAGGTCGGACATTGGGTGGTGGAAGTTTTATTAGCGTGGGCTCATCATCTCTCCTCTTGACTGAGAACACAATATTAGTCACGATACTCTAACCCATTTACATCAATAATTTGCGTTAACATTTTTATTTTATTTTTTTTTTCAGTTTACTGTACTATTTGAAATTATAATCACCACTTCATTATTCTTCACAAATTAATGATATTCATTCTTTTCGGTTTTTTCAACTGAATTGCAGGGAATATTTTTCTAATTTCATTCTGTCAAAAATTTTATTTCATTTTTTACAAGTTGACGAATTTTTTTTCATTTGTTACAATTCCATGACTTTTTGAAATAAAAATTCAAATAGTATTTCACATAATTTTGCACATAATCCATTCAACAATGTCAATTAATAACATTCCCAGAACATTTTCATTCCAGCTAATTCCATGACTGATGCACAAAAGCTCGAACTACTATAATTTTATTGATTTTTTTTGCATTTTTAATCCAATTGCAGATATTCAAATATGAGTTTCATCGTCGATCACCTATTCCCAGCCCTCCGGGAGGACGCTGCCGACGAATTCAGTAATTTCTCGTACTGGCGTGATCCCATCCAAGAATTACCAAACATCGGGGACATGTTGAAAGAGCTCCAAGTCACTCAATAATACCCAAATTCGCCAGAAGACGTAAAACTAAGATAAACTGCTTGTCGATTTCGTTCTCATTGTGTTCGTGAAAATTACTCACCTCCCTTTCGGAGAATTGAGACAATTACGATGATAATAATGGTAAATAGTCGTCATTCGCATTCAAGCTAACTTTTGTACTGTACGAATTGAGAAAAAAAAAATGCAAATCACGATTTAATTGCTTGAGATGAGGATTTGGCGGTGAAAATTGATATTGGAATCGTACTTATTCATTGCTTTATGTATTTTCGTAGTGAGATAAGTCATCAACATCAGCAGGGTATGATAGTGGTGAAGATAAATAGCATTCCAACGATGGATATGTGAATAGTGGGTTTATTAATTTATTATTAGTTTATTTTTCTTTGATTTTGGAAATGAGGAAGAGGCCTACAATGTTTCATTCTGCCTTTTCAGGGATTTTCTAGTCGAGAAATTAAGTAAATGAATTTAATTCTAGGATGTATTGAAACAAAAATTGATGTTAATCTTCAGCAATTGTTCCATCAGATTTAGATTATGAAAAATTAATCGATGGAGAATGTTACCTTTGTGTCTTGTCGAATGCTCGAGATAATTTATATTTATTTTTGTACAATTTATTCATTCAATTGGCACTATTTTGATGCCACGTAGATTTAATGGACAGGAAAAATTATTAAATAGACGTGAATTCATTGCATTGTGATATTTGGGTCAAATTTGCAGGCAGAATTTATCTCAATTATTTGAGGAGTTTGAATACTGATAGAAAGTTGTGATGATAACTTTTTTCTCCTTTGACTGTGAGCAGAGAATTGACAAAAGTTAGATAATCATCAACTGATTGATTGCAATTTTTGTATCATTTGTGATTTTTTTTTATTTATTGAGCAATTTGGGGAAATGATAATTTTTTTGTGACAGGATTGAATTCCTATGGTCGCAGTGCGATTCTCCGTCTAACGGGAATATTTTTCCTGAATAATAATCATTGATAAAACGAAAAATGACAAAATTGAGGAAATGACAAAACAATTGTAGTTAAACTCAATAATTTTGAAGAATTGGGGGAAATTATTTTTCACCGAATCATTGTAATAAATTAATTTACAGATAATAATGAAGTTTGTAAATACTGTAGGCCATTATTATTATTTCTCATAATTACGAAAACTAGTTTTTTTCATGAAGTTTATTTTATAATTTAAATGGAGTTAATTTTGTAGTTCAGTTAATCAATTATGAATTTTCTATGGATTGAAAATGATGAAGTTTGATGGACCAGATAGATCTCACTCGCTCGTGCACACGCTTACCTATACCGAAACGATGAAATCGTACTAAAGAAAGGTGTTTTTGTATTTGAAATAAAATGTGATGAAGCTATGAAATATTTCCCTCCAGGATTTCAATGTCCTGGAAATGTTTGAGCTTCTGCTAAATGTTATGAATGTATCTGTAGCAAAAAAACGGTGAAAGAATGAAAAAGAAAAATACACAAAGTAATCAGCTTATTTATTCGTCTACTCAATCTTCGATTCATCCAGAATAAATCATTTCTTCGTTCTACTCATTCGTTTTCCCCTCTTGGGTCTCTCCCTCACGATTTCCTCAGCATCTGATATCTCTATTGAATCGATTGACGTTGCACTCCTCTGGCGTTTTGGGTCGAAATGGGAAATAATCTTGGAGCTCATTGAATTTTTGGGCTTGAAAAACCAGGAGTAGATACTCTACAACACATCACGAATAAAAGAGACCCTCGGGTGATTCCATCGACTCAAAAATCGTTTGTCAGGACTTACCCAAATGAGACCCCCCAGCAGGAAGACAGTGTACACAGGGAGTCCCATAATAAAACCAATATTCAATACAAAATGAGTAAAAAATCCTCAAAACTAATTAAAAATCCTCAGAACTTGCAATTTAGACTCTTGACTGGACGGAATGACAGCTCCTCAATTAATCTCCCTTCAATTGTTTCGTGGTGAGGTAATACTATTGACTCACTCCGACAGATTTATGTACAAAATAGTTTTATTAAAAATAATACAGTTTTTTTATGGTTTATGTTTCATCTATGTCTTCAGCCTCCATTTGTTCTTCGCTGGGTTCAGCTGATGAAGCTGCTAGATGTGTATATCCTTTTTTCTTCGAGTAAAATCCTAGAGGAATGAGTTTAAAAGTCGCCAATTGTCTTCCAAATAGTTTCTGAAATAAAAAATCATTAACACTTCTTTATCTTTCCCAAGAAAACATGATAAATTTTTTATTCAGAAAAAATCGTGTTTTAAGTCAAGAAAAAAACTTTTATTCTCCTCAGATGATGTTATGAAACTCTTCGAGAATTGAAGCAAGAGAAGAAAAATCAAGAAGTCGATGTGAAATACGTACCAAAATTCTCGCCTGCTCAGGAGTCAAGGCCTGGCCCTTCTTACAGACCTCGTAATCCTGCAGGAGCGTAACAACTCCTTTCTGAAGAGCTGTGGGCATTCCCAGTTGCCTCAAATGGGGCTCAATAGCGTGAGAAAAGTCAGGGAGAGGTCCCTCAGGTAGAACAATTGTCTCTGTTGGGATGAACCCAGCCCTGGCGAAGTCCTCCTCCCCGTACTCCTCCATCCAGCTCAGAACCTCCTTCTTCGTTTTATTCGTGAATAACAGGCCGCACTGGCCCTTCAGAACTTTCGACATTTCGTGAATACCCTCCGCCACTTCAGTCTCAGGGGTCAGGCCAAATCCATGGGCTATTATCTTATTTTTACCGAAGAAGAAACGACTCCCCGACCATTGCTCCCTCAAGCTCTTCAGCTTGTCATTACGCATATTGGCGTATGTGAATAGAAACACTCGGTTGTATTTCTCCACGCAGACCTTCACATCCTCGATGATGTGGTCTTTCAGGATTTTTCCTTTTTTACTGGTTTTTGTTAGAGATACTGTAAAGTTAATATGAACCTCGTGATTACTTGAGATTCGTTTCATTTTCTGTTCGGTCTCTTGTACCATGCCCTGAGTCCGATTATCTCCATAATTATCTTGTTGATTCGAACATCTCAATTTTATTTATCTGGGATTTTAGTTAAATTTCTAGGATTTGATTTAAAGATCGAAAAACGTTCTTTAAATAAACGTTCCAGGTTTGGAATTTTTTAAATTAAAATGCGAAAAAATTGACTGCGTTAAAATGCATACTCTGTATATTTACTTCTAATTCGGCCCAATCAATCAATACGCCTCGTTAATTTATTTCACTTCACTCCTGTTATCCCTATGAAATTGTTATTCTTCAAGTATTTAATTTATCAAAAATGAACTCCCTTATTATTCACGCCTCCTTACAGGTTAGCTCCCCATTTTCACGAGTTTACCAAAATAAATAGTTTAGTGAATAAAAAATTCGTGGAATCCACTTACTCTTCTTATCTCTCTTGGACTTCGGCATTTTGGCTCTCTAAATCACCAAAGTCTCCAATAAATTCGCTGAATATAATTTTACTGAATGTTATTGACAATCACGTGGGAATAAACAGGATATCCCTAACCTCAAACGCCCTCGCAGAGTTGAGAACGCCACCTAGCGGGAAAATAACAAATAAATTCTCCAAATAATCCCCACGGGCTCCCACAGATGTCTCCTCAATGCGTAAATCGCTCGCTCGTGTTCACACTCGCCCCCAGTCCCCCAGAATACCCAAAAAATTATTCGCTCGAAGTCGTGCAGTCCCGTTGCCCTTCCTCAGCCCTCCAAGAGCCCCTCCAGACCCTAAAAAGTCCTCCCCCCAAAAATAAAGAAAAAAATTCAACAAGCGGAAGTGCGTGTGTCTCGAACGCAGCCCTAAGATGGCGGTTTCCGTCAGTCGCAGCTAGTGCACTCTGTGAGACCGTAGTGAACGGTGAGACATTGTAATACGTTGAAGCCTTGATTTTCCAGGCCGCTTACTGCACTCAAAATAGGTGAGTAAAACCCTCCACAAATAAAATAACCCATCCAATAAATAACGATAGCCCCCGAGTGCATGATATTCCTGAATAAATCGCCAACAAAGTGTGCATTGAACGTCGAACTGTCGGTGGAAAAACGGCTCTCGTGTGGACCCCGTAGCCATTGAAAAATCATCCTGTCCCCCTCGAGTTTCATTATTTTCTCATTGCGGTGTCGAGTGGGGAATTGCCGGGAATTATTTTCCCCGCTTGTGGGCCATTTCGCCGAGTCCTCAGCATTTAATATTGAGATTCAATGGACCACGGCGAGGGGGTGGGACTCGGAGGGCGGTTAGAAAAAATCATCTCATATTTTCGACCAGGTCATGCGATCCCAATGCGGCTCAGTCGTGCGGTAATGACGCACGCCACGCGCAACCAAGACGTCTCTTTTTTTTTGTATTTCATTTTTTAACTCTGTTTTTCACCTCGGGGTGGCCATCTTTGAGTCACGACCGGTGAATTCCTCGGTTTTACATTTTTATTCAGACGAAAAAATGGGGAGAGTGCAGGGAAAAGTGGGACATTTCGTTTTTTCAAATGATTAAATTCGTTTTTTCGGGTGCGGAATTGAGAGATTATTTTCTCGTAGTTGGTAGCAATTTTAGTTACATTCTCGAATGACGTAGTTGGAGAGGACAGGGGAGTGTCACGTCGCCATGTTGCCTTTGACCTGCCGGCTACGCCGGATTTTTCCTCGATGTTTTTTTATCGTTGGTTTTTCGGGATGAATTTATTGCTGAGGGTTTCGGGGGGTTTTATGGGAATGAGGGTAGGGTAGGGCGGTCTTGGGAAGTGAGAGGTTCTACGTTTTGGGTGTCAATGGGACTCTGTAGGTACTGCGTAATTCCGTAGGCCGAATGGAACGCATATCCTTATATGGAATGGTACATTAGTCCAATGCCAATGTCGTATTTTGGAAATTTTTATGAATGGGATTGAGTTTCCTGGAGAATTGGTTTAGAGAATTGATTTAACAGGGTTGCGAGGGGTGATGATGGATGAGGAGGCAGTGGGTTGGTCATTTAATTCATAGGTTTTATGGTTTTTTTAACGGGAAAATTAATTTCACGTGTTTAGAGATGGAGAAATTTTTGTAGAAGCTTCTTTTGAAGGTCTCGTCTTATTCCACGAATACTGATCTCAAATTTAAATTAATCTCTTTTAGGTTCCAAAGTATTTATGTAAAACAAAAATTTATCGATTTTTTTCAATTTAATTATCTCTTCCTGTTCCACCATTTGATTCTTGAAATTATGATGTTAACGAGTGATTTAAAGAAAAAATTGTCGTACAAAAATGCCCAGGAACGAGTCTCGAACGGAAATTGATCCATCAAATTTCTCTGAATTTATTCCAAATATTTACACAATTCAGTGAAAATGAGATTTGCTCAAAAACTATGTGAATTGAGCACATCAAACGATTGCAACACAGCATTCCAATCCCCCTGCACCTGGCATTCCTCTCGAGCTCTCGCAATTCCCAACAAAATCGAAAAATCCCCTGCAATTATCACCGAATGATCCCCAACCTTTTTCCAGCACCAGAAGAATTTCTCACATCCGTTCAATCGAGTAATTCCATTAATTCATCCTCCAGTTTCATCTCTCGATTTTTATTTCAGACTTTGTGTTAAATTTGCATTTCCGGCCGATGACACTCATCGATACCAGTGGAATTATTTCCCTGGCCACTGAAATTATATTGATAATGAGTGGTTTAAAAAGAGAAAAGTCCTTATAAAAATTCTCAGAAACTGATCTCAAACGGAAATCGATTCATGACATTTTACTGAATATTTAAAAAATTCAGTGAGAATGAGATTTCTAAAACTATCTCGAATTCCAATCCCCTGCAATCATCACCGAATGATCCTCAACCTTTTTCCCAGCACCAGAAGAATTCCTCACATCCGTTCAATCGACTAATTCTACTAATTCATCCTCCAGTTTCATCTCTCGATTTTTATTTCAGACTTTGTGTTAAATTTGCATTTCCGGCCGATGACACTCATCGATACCAGTGGAATTATTTCCCTGGCCACTGAAATTATATTGATAATGAGTGGTTTAAAAAGAGAAAAGTCCTTATAAAAATTCTCAGAAACTGATCTCAAACGGAAATCGATTCATGACATTTTACTGAATATTTAAAAAATTCAGTGAGAATGAGATTTCTAAAACTATCTCGAATTCCAATCCCCTGCAATCATCACCGAATGATCCTCAACCTTTTTCCCAGCACCAGAAGAATTCCTCACATCCGTTCAATCGACTAATTCTACTAATTCATCCTCCAGTTTCATCTCTCGATTTTTATTTCAGACTTTGTGTTAAATTTGTATTTCCGGTCGGTGGTACTCATCAATAAAGACCGATGGAATTATTTCCCTATAGTAGCCGAGGGTTCTTTGACAAGCCAAGCGTTGTCAGCTGATCAATACTGTTTTCGGTCCACATAAATTTCCTCGCACTGTCATGCCCCCCTGAATTTTTCCTCATCGCCTTCTGTCGTGTTCCCACTCACCGGTGAATCCCCCTTCGTAGCATTAAACCTCGTGTCCCTCGATCCTCCAATATTTATGATAATGACTGGTACTAAGAGGAGAACTAGTTCACCAGAAGGTGAATAATTCATCCACTCGAAAATTTTAGCAGTAGCCTCTGTTACATAGAAAGTTGCTCGATTTTTTTTGTGGGTGGAAGTGACTACGTGATACCATTTCTAAACGTGAGAAATCCTACCTCGTCAATGATACAGGCTCATTCGGAGAGCGAGAGAGAGCTGAATGACTCCTCTGTGGATATGTCTCTCGACCTTACGAGCCAGCATTCCGACAATCCCACGCTAATGACACTGGGAATAATTTTGTTTTCACTCCAAAATCGGCCATCCTCGCGTTCTTAGCTCGTGTCTGTTGCTTAATTATGTTGGGTGGAGGTAAATTGAGTATTTTTATCATTAATCGAGGTTTAATAATCATCAAAATTTTGGAAATTGTGGCAATTAAAAAATCACTGCATGAGGAGCAAATTACATTTTTATTTTACTTTTGAAGATTCGTCATTCATTTTACTTTATTACTTGAAGTTTGGAGGTCGAGAATTGATTCATTTTAAATAATTCGTGGATATTTTAAAGATCTGAAAATAATAAAGAGTTAACATTTTGCAGAAGGTTCATAAAATAATTGAAAAATTTAAAACGATGACGTATTTTGTTGATAAACAATTTATGAACAATCCATTTTCTACCCCATATCCATCCTCTCAAAATCGTCATAAATTTGTATATGTTGAAAATATCGTGAAAAACAAATTTTGTGCCAACAACGTTCAAAAAATTCTCATCATTCATTTCAAAAAGGAAAGAGGAAATAATTCAATTTTTAACGAATAATTAATGAAACTTGCTGTTTTCCTCGAGACTAAATTCATCTCGGAGTCAAGTCATTCCACAAAAACCTGAAATTGTTCCCAAGAATTTTCAATTACCATCACTATTCCACCCTCCACATCCCCCAGACCCCAGCAATAATCAAATTTTCCGCATAAACTTTCACAACCCAGAAAAACACATCCGGTGTCTCTAGCCCCACGAGGTCGAGCGATTTTCTTCTTCCGTTTACTGATACGAGTGGGATCGATACACCTCGAGAACACACGACTCTTCTTCCACCTACACCTCTCCTTCCGCGTCTCTTGGTTCGACCCCGAGTAAACGACCTCGACCAGTTTCTCCCCGGACATCGTCCTTGGCCCGTCTCCACCCGCTTCCTCACCCTCCCCCGCGCCCTAATCATTAATGCCAGTAATTTCGAATATCCTGTTTTTTGCCCTTTATCACGAGACATTTTCCTCTCTTCTTTTCCGTCATGTCGTGAGCTGAATTATTGCGATAAACTGACGACCCACTTCTGCTGGTATTCCCTGAGATGAGAGCAAAGACATCGGGAGGGGGTGGAGAGGTCTCAAAGCCCTCTCATCAGAAGGGGTTAAAAATTCGCGCCCTTTTACGCATCACCCGACCCTACTCACTCGTCTCGTCATCAAGGGCTTGGAGGGGATGAAGAGCACTAGAATGATTGAAAAAAAATCATCAACCCCTTTCTCCAGAATGAATGAGTGAATTGTGGGGTTTCCCTCACTATTAAGATAATTCTGTAGTTAATTGATTGATTTGATGTAGATGAGAATTTATTTTGTCACAATTACAGTTTGTCGTTGTTTCTGAGGGGTTATATCAGGATGAGGGAAATACTATCGGATAATTCCTTTGGGGATGGGGAAAAACCCCGAGGTAAACTCGTAATCCCAAATGTTGAGATAATTTTATTGCGGATCGATGGAATTTCATGGGGAGAAAATTCGAGGCTTTGGGCACCTGGCGTGGGTTTCCACTCGTGACCTATACTATTAGTCAGGTTAATGGGGGAGGTTGGAGGTGAATTGTGGTTATGGATTTTTCCACTCGACAATTTCATTCAATAAAATTTTTCGCAATTTACGGAGAATTCAAGATGTTGGTCAATATTTTAAGTAGTTCAGGGGTTTTTGTGAAAAA